ATAGTTTCGTCCATCTTAATCAATGTATTCGTGACTTCGTATATAGAAATGTTGTATTAGATATTTTAAGAAAATAACCGAATTTATCAATTTTGTTTTAAAATATCATGATTATATCTTCAAACAATTAAAACTAATCGATTGTTATGGCTTCCGAAATAGCGCTGTGCAATTTTGTCAAGTATGTCCTGGTCATTGATTGTGACGGGTGTATTCATCCATGATGACAGACGCAAACAGAAGTTGACTTCTGCTCTGTTCTGCACACCTTCGTCCCGAGTGGGAGAGAAGTAAATATATGTATTATCACTCCCATCCTACTTCACAGCAGAGGAGGCATAATCTTCTCGTACATTCCTAACCTAGGTAAACGCCCCAAACGAGCAATTCCTTCAGCCATATCGATTTTTCCTGTTTTCATAATAAATACACTTTGCCGGCGTGTTGCTCATTGCTCACTCCAGAGGAAAATGTGAGTGTCCATCACCCAACTGAGAGTGTGTTGTTACTCTGTCAGCTGACCATGCCTTATGTGCTTGCCCAAACACTGCTACACCGCCGTCGTATGGGTGTCTCATGTCTGGTCAGCCACATAACAAGTGTTATCAAAGCGCTTTATTACCACGCTCCAGTTGGAGCAATTTCTTCTATTTCAGGTGTCATACGGCCTGCTGAATAGGAGCAACACCTGTAATAGGGAAGGGGACTTCTGGCGGGGACGACAGGGCGACTCAGAAGAGCCCCTCGGGTACACTATAGGGAATGGATACCCTGCTGCTATCCATCCGCCGCTCTCTCTCTCTCTCTCTCTCTCTCTCTCTCTCTCTCTCTCTCTCTCTCTCTCTCTCTCTCTCTCTCTCTCTCTCTCTCTCTCTCGCTGTATGTTCAAACTCAAATAGGATTGATTTCTTTAGTACCTAACAGATTTGTGAACCGCAGCTAACCACATGAAACTTCACCCCCGACTACAGCAGTCGATATAAATGAACCCAGCCTCGCACTGCCAGCTAGAAGTGGGATTGATAGAAACCCCACAGCTCACATATACACACTGATGGGAACACTTTGGAATTACATGTTTAGAAGTTTTTAGAAAAATATCATTCTACGAAAAGTAGAATACTGACATTATAGTATGTCAATACATTCCACGAGAATTACAAAACTGACGATACGCGGTAACGTCTGCATCATATTGTACCTGAGTTTTTGTTTCGTCCGATACGTAGATAGAGCGGGACGGAATTGTCTTATTTTGGTGTGTTTGGAAGAGAGAGAATGAAAACACCAAAGGTACTAGTCTTCATTAGAGACTACTACCATGGGAAGTAGCGTGTTTAAATATCTGCCTATCACAAACATCCCAAGCTGGGCACTTAGGATGGATGGATGGATGGATACGAGATATTTCAATAAACTACATTCTAAAAAATCGCAATTTAACACATTTTAACAATATGGAATTATTTTACTTTGTTATAATTTACACTACATTCTTTTGTCAATAACTTCGGGTATACAAGTAAATTATTAGTAACGTATCACGCTGTATAAAAATACATAATTTTATGTCGAATAGCAATACTACCTCCCCCTTTCATAACCGATTATATTATGAAAATATTTTAAACGTGTTTCCGAATATAATCGGTTATGAAATAAATTAAATAGAATGTGTAGATGGTTTACTCAATCATACAGTGTAGCCTTAACTGCAACAATAAGCAAGTGTTTGTATCTGAAATATTTTTGTATCTTTTGTATCTTAAATGTGTAAATGTGACAATAAAAGTTAGATAAAAATACCAACTTCAGTGTAATGTTTAATACATTTAGTATATGAAAGTAAAACAACAGTCTACCTCTTTCCACACATATATCATCTATGCGACCCATACTGTCCAGTCTGTTGCAGTATCACTTGGGCTGGTCTTACTACCTGTTTTATTACAATAACAAACAATCCTGCTATCCTTCCTCTATGGCAGCCGCGTTGTTAGTTAAGAGAAGCTGTGTATATGTCCCATTATAAATACTAACATATCTATACGTATAAAGTGTATTTTAGACCCAATATCTGCAGCGCTTTACTTCAAGGTAGACACTTTAAAAAACCCATTTAACATGTTAATTGAAAACACCATCTGTTATTTAACGAGGATGTATCTTCAAACGTAGTTTATGCATTCCGCACTCTGTGTTAGTTGTATTGCCAGGAGACTTGGAAAATCAAAATGTACATCTGTTTTGGGGAGAATGCCGAAAAATGTCTTGTTGACGATATCTCGGACAAATGATCAATTTTAAGTATTTAAAGAGTCGGTGTAAGAATTACCTATTTTCTTATCCAGAAGTCAACACGTTGTTGAATTAAAAGGGATTTTGGGAGAACAATCTAATCCGAATTCGATATATATATGTATATGTATACGTATATGTATAAGTGTAATCCTCTCCACGTTATCTAACTTTATCGTCTTAGCTTTCATGAGGGCCGCCGCTAACACTCATTCACACTTTCTGAAGGGGTAGCGCTCCAGAAACACTGGAACAATTTGTCAATCTCTCTACACATATAAATTCAAATCTTCCATCAGATCACATTGATAACTTGTAAGTAGCAGTGAAGGAACTAAGTGTACAGATTTCGTTTGAGGAACATTGTAAGACCATTAGGATGGAGAGCATGGTAAATATTGGTTGAGTGGAGGTTTTTGTTGCAGCTATTGAGCGCTTGTATGGAACAGGCGCTAATCCCACCAGTAAATACTATCCCACCTGGCTCGCTGGGAGCTTCGGAAACAATCTTCCTCAAATTGCCTACGATCTCCTCTCGGTTAGTTTTTGATACATCGATAATAATGAGAATTGTGTTAGTCTAACCTTTCTTTGCGCGGAGAGATGGGGGTCAGCTTGGTTTGAGAGTAGAGGGAGTGAGTGAGCGTGCCATGGACGGTGGGGGTGGGATTAGTGAAGGTGGCACCCCTAGCGAGCAGGCAGCTGCGACAAGCGAGGTGTAGAACGGCGGACGTGCCGAGTGCTGCACCGCTCACGTCACCCAAGTTTGCAACACCGGTGTTTAATTCTCCCGAGTCTGTCCCTGCTAACTCATATACAAATTTGTAATTTTCTAAATTTTGGGGGAAAATGAATGTCTATGTAATTTTATGTTTCATGGAAAAGTATTTTAAAAGTTTCCCCGATCCTACTACATAACTACCATGTAGTCAGCATGCGTCTACTTCCGATATAAGGAACATGTGGATGGATGTAAAAATACAGAATAAAATAGATGCTAAAATATCCTTACAAAATAAGTGTTCATGTACAATATCGAATGTGAAAAATAACTTTCATATGATTTCATAAAATCATTATTACATTGGCGTTTAAAATGCATGGTGTAGTAAATCCTGGCTAGTCACGGGAGGGGGGGGGGGGGTGGGGGGGGGGGGGGGGGGGGGGGGGGGGGGGGGGGGGGGGGGTCTGTCAGCTGCCTATAGGCGCTGTGGGAGATGTAGGAACGACTGGGATAATTTCTTGACAAGGTTGACACAAACGTATGCCCGTTGTGCAACAGTGCCCAGTCGGGGTTGACTGCCTGCATCACGAACACCACAGTCTCGTGGCTACTCTATCTGGTCGTTCCTGCAATTAGCACAGTCAAATACCATCCTGCTCTCAGGGAAATGAATGACAAATCATGTTTATTACACATGCTTGATAACACAGAAGGTGACTTAAACAAGCCATTGACAGTGAATGGAAATAATATTCCAACTTACAGAATAGTTTTACTTAATTTCTATGCGAACATTTTCTAAAGAATATTTGTTTCCTTCTAATGTGTAGACTTGATTTATTTTTGTATGTATCTATGTATGAATATGATTTTAGTCATTTATATATAAGACCGTAAGACATTTTAACATTTGAGCAATGCTTGTTCATGTATTGTTTTGTTTACTTATCTGATTTAAAGGGCATGAATCTTAGGCGTATGGTTGACGTATTTAAAGCTTGTTCTTGCGTAGATTTGTATGTTTAGGGACAACAAAATATTTAACAAATTTAATTGATGTTGACAGTTTGTGTGATGCTAATCATAATATTTCTATGAGTAACCAGGACAAAGACGAAATATTCCGATGAGGGAGAGACGACTTAAATAAGAGAATTAACATATGTTGAACTGTTTGATAGACTAAATCTAATCATAACCGAGGCTTTTTCTGTTACAAACCATATATTTTAGGACAGATCAGTCGCTTCCTACATTTCAGAAAATTATCAAAATATTACAAATGATATTTACTAAAAACAGCGTATAGAGTGTTTTGTTGTGTTGACATGGAAAACGAATTAAGTTATAGCGAAACCAAAAACAGACAAATATTACAAACCAGGTCTTACTTTCCATATAAAAAGTTCTGAAATGACCACGGAATTCAACATATACCCATTAGCAGATTCATGTGTGTGAGTCAGTACACTCTGTTTTTTTATAAACTGAAATTAAACAATATTGTCATTGTTCGTAATTGAATAGTTTGTGTCAAATTCCAGACCATGTTTTAAATTATGACACTTCAATCCAACTTACAACAAGCTGTCACACACACAACCCTGTTATGTACAGGAGGAGTAACGCTTGAGCTTCAAATTGAAAATATATCCTATTTGTTGTTTCCGCCTGATTTCTTGTTGCCAGACAACACACGCACTTTACACGGCCACAAACACACGACAGACACTGACGCAAAGATTTAAAGTAAGTGGAAAGCAACAGAGACAATACAAAAACCAAAGAAATAATTCCAGGAAATATAGTTTAATTCTTGTACAATAATGTGTATACAGAGAACGTCACGAATTTAATACGCAGTTTGGCTTATAAATATATGAAATGTAATACAGATACAGGTGTGCAGGTGAAATAAACACTTACACAACGTCGTGAGTAGGTGGTTGTCTGTCACCCCCGGCTCCGCTAGACACGCTGTCTTGTCCGCCTCACAACAAATCACCTAACTTCAACACAGGTGACTAATTAAGCACTTTTCGTAATATCTGAACAATAGAACACATATATATCTAAATGTTTGTCACATATCACGAGATAATCTTCCCGTTTGATCAAAGTTCTGGCCATTACGTACCTCCAGAAGTAGTCTGTTTAGATGAGCACAACACGCTAGCCAGTAGTTTTGTCACTCACTGAAACCGGGGAGAATGAACTATCAGGCGATGAGATGAGAGTCCCGCTCGCCTTTGACAGTCTTGACGGGGGTGCATATGTTGACAGACCTGGCATGTGCGGCACGGGCGCTGCTTTCAGATGTTGATATAACTCAAGACCCCTGAGCTGGGGGTCCAGGCCCTGGAATCCTTGTAGGAAGTAGGAAGCTCGCCACGCAGCAAGAGCCGATTCCTGACGCCCGTACATGGGGTTTGTACAGGGGACCTGCCCTGTTTCCGAAGACCGGGATGTTTCCGACAGCAGTTTGTCCACCGAAAAATTTAGTCCATTCTTCTGTAAAAATCTATCAGACGTAACCGTGGCAGGTGTCATTTGTAGTGGGTAGGGGTGATATGGGAGAGGCGAGTATCGACTACCTGCCAAGCCCGGCAGTGAGTATAGGGGGGTGCAGGCAGCATACGGGTGGAGGCGGTCCGACTGGAACGGGTAGGACGGTGGGGTGAGGTGAGGAAATCCAGCTCTCTTGAGAGCAGCAAGTCGACTCCGTGATGCCAGAGTGGACCTCCGCCTGAGTTTCCCAGTGGTGCCACCAATGAACACATCGTCACAAGATGGATCAAGCATCCAATAGTTGCCCTTGCCAGGATCGTCGTAGTGTCGGGGGACCTTCACAAAACACTTGTTCAGACTTAGGTTGTGGCGAATAGAGTTTTGCCAACCTTGCTTGTTATCTTTGTAATATGGAAAGTTTTTCATGATAAACTCGTATATCTGACTTAGTGTGAGTCTCTTCTCGGGGCTGCTCCTGATCGCCATCATGATGAGAGCATTGTAACTAAATGGGGGTTTCTCGGGCTTCTTTTCACTCTTCCCCTTCTCTCCATCGTCGTTCACCCCCTTACTTTCCTCTGTCTTATCCTCCGAGAAACTCTCAGCATCGTCACTTTTGTCCATATCAGTGTCAGATATGACATCCTCACACACTCTTCCATCTTCTGTTGAAAGTGCCTCTGAAACTTCCTCCTTAACATCACTGACAACATCTACAAAAATGTTATCTCTGTCTGCGACGCTGTCATTCTGTGGCGTTCTGTTGACCACTTCCAGACTAGACTCTTCAGTGTCGCTGTCCGACTCCTCTCCAAGCATTCTTCTGATACTAAAAGGATTAAGAGAGCGTTTCAAAGACTTTGCTTTCTCTTCAAACTGAACCATATTGACGGAGGTATAGGTGTTTAGCGTGCTGCTGTCACGGGCGGACTGAAGCTGACGCCGACACTCACTGCCTATGTAAGAAGTGAAGCCCTGCTAGCAATGCTTCAGCAGGAGGCCGCGCGGAACATGTTTCATTATTGTGGTAAATTCCAGTTAATCACTGCCATTCACGGCTCCAGTAACACACAGCAACTGTTCACTGGCCCACAAACGACCAATAGCAGGACGCCATTTTGTGGCTCCACCTCCACGTTATTAGTGTGAAGTGATTGGCAGGCCGTACTGCCGGTCGATACGTGGATGGGGAAGCTGGAGAGCGCCGACGTGAGCGGGAGGCCGTACCGACTCTACCTTCACCGGATAGGCTTCATGTATGTGGATATTGTTAGGAAAGAATAGCGTGTCGCTACGTCCGTATTTGGCTTAACAACTGTAATTATAATCTAGTGGATAATATAAACAGTGCGCATTCTACGTTACAATTTGGCTGTAGTGTTCATTAGTTTCTTTTGGAGTCCAACGATGCTGCTTCTTAACGCACAGAATGAACACATTTGGATCATAAGCTTACAAATGTAGTATAATGTAACGTAATTAATTTTTGTAAAACGAATATTTTATATGATGCCAACTTCTATTACATATGGCATATGTGATATAATTTTTTACAAATGTGCTACTGTTGAGGAGCCAATAACCACGAAAAATAACAACAATATAACATTTTCCCGTATTGTTTCAGCAAGAAATATATTTTTACTCTTTAGTGCTCTACCCACTGTAACTATAACCATGAACAGTTAGTGCTGTACTCACTGTAATTATAGCCGTGAACAGTAAGTGCTGTACACACTGTAACTATAACCGTGAACAGTTAGTGCTGTACTAACTGTAACTTTAACCGTGAACAGTTAGTGCAGTACTAACTGTAACTTTAACCGTGAACAGTTAGTGCTGTACCCACTGTAATTATAGCCGTTAACAGTAAGTGCTGTACACACTGTAACTATAACCGTGAACAGTTAGTGCTGTACTAACTGTAACTTTAACCGTGAACAGTTAGTGCTGTACCCACTGTAAGTATAACCGTGAACAGTTAGTGGTTTACCCACTGTAAGTATAACCATGAACAGTTAGTGCTGTACACACTGTAACTATAACTGTGAACAGTTACTGATTTACCCACTGTAACTATAACCGTGAACAGTTTGTGCTGTACACACTGTAACTATAACCGTGAACAGTTAGTGTTGTACCCACTGTAACTATAACTGTGAACAGTTAGTGCTGTACACACTATAACTATAACCTTGAACAGTAAGTGCTGTACACACTGTAACTATAACCGTGAACAGTTATTGATTTAAAAACTGTAACTATAACCGTGAACAGTTAGTGCTGTACCCACTGTAACTATAACCGTGAACAGTAAGTGCTTTACAAACTGTAACTATAACCGTGAACAGTCAGTGCTGTACCCACTGTAACTATAACCGTGAACAGTTAGTGCTGTACACACTGTAACTATAACCGTGAACAGTTAGTACTGTACATACTGTAACTATAACCTCCAACAGTTAGTGCTGTACTAACTGTAACTATAACTGTGAACAGTAAGTGATGTACCCACTGTAACTATAACCGTGAACAGTTAGTACTGTACATACTGTAACTATAACCGTGAACAGTTAGTGCTGTACACACTGTAACTATAACCGTGAACAGTTAGTGTTGTACACACTGTAACTATAACCGTGAACAGTTAGTGCTGTACACACTGTAACTATAACCGTGAACAGTTAGTACTGTACATACTGTAACTATAACCTCCAACAGTTAGTGCTGTACTAACTGTAACTATAACTGTGAACAGTAAGTGATGTACCCACTGTAACTATAACCGTGAACAGTTAGTGCTGTACCCACTGTAAGTATAACCGTGAACAGTTAGTGCTGTACACACTGTAACTATAACCGTGAACAGTTAGTGCTGTATCCACTGTAACTATAACCGTGAACAGTAAGTGCTGTACCCACTGTAACTATAACC